CGGGGCCGACAGCCCACAATAGCCAGAGCCAACAGGTAGGTCTCAAGCTTCATGAGATAGGCCAGCCAGGTCTTGGACATATCCTCCTCGGTATCATCCTCCTGTAGGTAGAGGCCATCCCCCACCTTGCGACGCTTCTGGCTGTGCGTTCGCTGAAATGTCAAAGACCGGACCGTCCATAGGTCCATGACCTCCAGCTGCCCCCGGTAAAGCTGACGGCTCAACTTGCTCAACAGGCGATCCGATGGGAACTGGCGGGGCTCTGGACGGATGTGGTAGCGTTTGTAAAAGGCCTCTTTCAAGGAATCGAGCTCGGATGTAGGCAACAGGGTCTCATCCTCTGTAGAGGCAGGCGGCAAACTGGCCGCTGCATGCTCGGCATCCAGCATAGCCTTGCAGGAGTTCCAAGCAAAGCGAAGGCGAGCTGAATGCAGTCGAGCCGGAATCTCCTCCATTGACGGCGTAAGGCTGTCCACAAAGAGCTTCTTGACCTCCTCGTCAGTCCGCGGGTAATGGCGAAACTCAGCCAATGTGCGGATGCCCAACTCAAGGATCTTGTCTTTGATGCGGGTGTCAAAGTTGAACTGGGCAGCCAAAGCTGTGAAGGTATCTTCAGGCGTAGCCAACTGCTTGGGAGGAGCGGACGACATGTCAGCTCAGCGAAGGATCGTCGAAATCGAATTGAACACTTGAAACTTGAAGATAGCTGCCGTACAATAAACCTTGAAAAAGGAACAGGAAATCACCCTCGTGACATGACAATTAACACACGGTCGAGCCTTTTGTCTACCGACCCTCAAAGCCACATCACTCTAACTGCGGTGCCAACTCATTGAGCTCCAAGCCCAGGCAGCGCAGAGCATCCCATTGCAGAGCGTCAGTAAGCGGTGCCACCTCAGCATGGGCCATCACCAGGGCCGAACGTAAGTGCTGGCGCTCATCAGGGGCCAACGTAGTACTCAATAACTTGATTTCGTCACAGAGGGTCCTCACAACGGATACGTAGGGGGGAACAGACCCAGGCCGGACTGGCCGCGCCCCCAACAATGGATGAAGTTCCGGCTCAGGCTGGGCGAACTCTCTGGGGATGTCTTGAATCTCATCCCACCACTCAATCCAGCTAGTGCAGAGACTCTGCATAGCACGAAGTGGGACCAGAACCACCCCCAGACAGGGGGAACCAGTAGGGGGCAGGGACTCCAGGGCCAGACGAGCCTGCTGTCCCAAGTCCCTCAACTCAACTGCCTTGCCCCGCCGCGCGTCTCCGTCCAGGGGCGCCATGGCAACAGCCGCCAACTGGATAGCCTGGGGTCGGTCCATGGCGAACGATCGAACTTGAATAGATGAAGCTGCAACTGTGAAGACTGATGGAAAACTGACTGGGCGCGCATTCAGTCACACTTGCCCCCCCGGACATGACATGCGCCTTTTGCCACAAATTCACTAGACGTACAGCCTAGGCCAATGCACGTCGGTCCGGACCGGGAAGCACAACCTGGCATGACTTGCAAATCTGGCGATCATACCCCAAGGCCTCGTGCACAGACGTAGCACGGTGGGTATCGCCCCGAAAGCCCGGAGACGCCTGTCTCCACCGGCACCACGGTGCGCCTTCGCGCTCTACGTGCCACAATGCCCCTGCTTTGGTCGAACATATAAACACGACAGGGTACCGCGGGAGCTGGGGCAGGTTCCCTCCGCAGCTCGACCGGGCCCAGCTAAACAATGCCTCGCCCCCGCGTCTTTTCAAGACGCCTTGGCGGTCGATAGCTCTCAGCCCTTCCAGTCGCGTGTACTCCTGGTCGAAGTCGGTGCGCTTGATCCAGGCAAGGAGGATGGCCATGAGAATTGGTGCCCTATGCACCCCGGCCTGACAGTGGACCACAACATTCTTTCCGGCAGCAAGGGTGGCGAAGGCCGCTTGTTTAATATCCTGCAGGGCCTGATCACGTTTCACGCCCTGGTACGACACAGGGCACGACAATTGAAAACAATCTCGCTGCGCGACCCCACCAGGACACTCAGCGGCGGTTTTCTCCATAGCTGAGGCAATGAATCCAATATCATTGCCGCTCACCCACCGAGGGTCTTTCGGCAGACCAGCAAGGTAGAGCGACCCATGGCCGTCAGCGCCCCAGAAGACCAATGTAGGAGGTTCTGGTCGTCCACCATGTCCAGGGTGTGCCCAACGTTCACGAGCGGCAATATCGAACATTGCATCGGAGACCTCATTGAACGGCCCCGCTGGCGGCGGAGGGCGTGCCTTGGCAGCCGGTGGCTGCGGCTTCTTCTTGACAGCCACCGCCGGAGTCCCCGGCACCCTGACAGGGGATGGTGGCTCCACCGTGGCCTGACTGGCCGGTACAAGCAGTACTACAGGGGCAGGAGTCACCTGCTCGGGCGCCGCCTGCGCCGCCTTCTTCTGAGGGAGGCGTCGCCTCTGCAAAGGAGGCTCATCCGGCCTGGGCGCCAAGCGTGGAGACACCGAAGGCTTCGGCTGCGGTTGTGAGGACGAAGATCCCGTCGAAGCTGTAGCTGCCCGCTTGCGCAAAGCCCGAATAATCTTCTGTCCAGCTGTACGGATTACCGCCAGGGACGCCGGCAACAACGACTTCACCATAGGCATGCCAGGGATGTCTTCAGACGAGGCACGAATGACCCTGGGGCTCTCTGACAGCAATTCGTCCGCGGCGATCATAGCTTCGGACCAGCGCTCCACAGCGGATGTAGTCTTGATTTCTTCCCAAAGAAGCTCGGAGGCGCTGGCCAGGAACAAGGCAGCAGCAAGCCGGAGTTGATGGCCTTGCTTCTGTTTCCGAGCATCGTAACGCAATGGAGTCTGCGCTGTAGAGCCACCACTCGCAGCGTCCGTCCATTGTCCAATGGCAAGGCGCTCGGTGTCAGTGAGCCGCACGATCCCCGCTAAGGTGGGAACCACCCGCCGGAAGCTGTACGAGCTGAGGTTCTGCACATCCAAAACGCCATCGAAATAGGGTCGAACCACTCGAAGGAACTGCCCAATTGACACGGGGACACCTGTGTCAGAGTCGAAGGCCAAAAAGTGCCAACGACGATACCCTTCGCCATGACGTGGGCGGACCTTGTCCAACTGACGAGTCCAAATGGCATAAAGATCGAGGCTGCCCAAATGCCGAGGGATCGACCAGGTGAATCCGTCCCGGGATCCGGTCTTGCCTTTGAAGCACCAGAAGATGATGATGGCGGAGTTGGCGCCGATAAGGTAGCTCCGCTGCACGTGGCAAAACCGAATAAGCCCAAACACCATGGCCGCCGCGGCCATCAGGATAGGCCAGTGAGCATGCTCGGCCGTGTACTCCAGGACCCCCAACAGGTGGGTCACCATGCCCGGCTCCAGCGGGGCGGCCTGGGACTGCCCCTGTCCCAGCCGGGTGCTCCGGACCGGAGCCGGTCTGGAAGCTTCCCGCAAATCCAGTGGTACACGAAGGTTTCGGATCATCCAGCCCAGGGATGTGAAAACACGTGTCGGCCCATGGTGCTCCCTGATAAAGGTGGCCAATGCATGGGGGTCGGGAAACTTCAGCCCCAAATGATCCATATAGCGCACCAAGTCCTTCCAGGTGTGGACCACGCGCTTGATGGTAGCCGCCTCGGTGCGGGCACACAGCTTCTCCAAGCGAGAGGCCCAATTGGCCATGTATTCATCTCGTCGTGCAGGTGGTGGAGGCATCAATGTCACCATGATACCCAGCAGGTCACGAATAAACAAGGCAGCGACTCCACCCTTAGCATCAGTCGACTGGGCTGGCCGCTTCTTAGGCCTGACAGGCCCAGCAAATGAAGACGGCTTCGGACGGGCCACCGAAGATGAAGGCAATGAAGAAGCCGGAGCACTGGATGGTTGTGGCGGGCGAGACTGGCGAACTGTCTCCCTCGCAAAAAGGTGCCGAACCAGAGCTGCCATCCCCGGTTCGCTCTCACGGCGGGCGAGATCCCACCCATCTGCCACTGCGCGACCAGCTTCACGAAGTGCTTCCTCGTAGGAGGTAAACCAAAAAGCCAAGTCGCTGGAACTCTGAATCCCCATCCTGGTACACCAGGTATTCAGCTTCTCCTGCTCAACCGCGCGTCGAGCATCTGCGTCAGCCATGGCTCGCACACAAAAAGAATCTTGCGAATCAGCGACCCTGATTCACACGAGCGACACTCCTTTTGGCTTGAGCCTCAAGCTGAAAGGAGTGAGTGAACTGAATGACATCAAATAATTCCTCATCACCGACCCTGCCTACCTTGAATGAATGAATATACTTGCATAATTATATGGTATTATGTCTATCTTCATTTACATTGTTGTATAATATAGTATAATTAATACAGTGTTTTGGTCAGCTATGACTTTGCTACTAGCACTGTCAAACTGCCCAGGTTGTCGAGTTTCAGGCTTCCACCCGCCCCACGTGGACCAAGGAACCGTCCTCGCCATTCTGCCCGTTTGACTCAAAAGCCATCGTGCAGCGGTCAGAATCCACGCGCGACGCGCGGGATCGGTTTGCTCTTCACGCAGAGATTGGACCGGAAGAAACGGAAGACGCATGAAAACACGGAACCTGTTGATAGCTTTTTTCCCATGTTTGTTCCATCCGGAAGCCCATACGTTCATTCAATCCCAAGACTGCTCAAGAACCTGCAGTCCCTGCAGTCTTTCATCACTTGCTCATCGCTGCCAATGCGGACTTCTAAGCTGTGAAACTGCGGAGGAGTGAGGGTATGCATATGTTGCACATCTCAAATGAAATCATACCAATTCTGAGGTTAACAAGTGGCTCCTTTTTCGTGGGGGATCTACAGCCCTGCTGACTTGTCATGGAGCCTTATGACAATCTTGCAAAGGACAGTTGTCTTCCACAAAAACCATATGTACAGTAATGAATCGAAATTGCAGAATGCCCTTCTTGAACTCTTAAGCTGGTCCTTCTGGAGTCCTTCTTGTCCCATATATAGTATATACTCTTTTTGAGGAGGTTGTTTTGAGGAAAGCAGCTATAATGCATGAGTTTGAAATTGGGAAGAGGCACTTACTTACTAATGACGCTGCTCCTTTCAAAGACCGTCACAGCCGGTCCTTTCAGCTCCATGAGCTCAGTCGTCCCATCCCTTCGATGCGTTCGGTCTTCGGTTCGGCCTTTTTCTCAGAGGAAGCACCGCAGGCGCGCCACTCTCGATCTCGCCGAGGACACCGGCACGTCAGCGGGCCCTGAAAGGGGTCAACAGGGTGGGGCGCGGATCATCGCGGATCCAAGATGAGAGCTTTCAACCTACAGCAACAGGCAGGTTGCGAAGATATCAACAACTGCAGGTGCAGCTAACTATAGCAAGGCAAGAAATGCGCTAACTCTGGCCGAAGATGTTCAGTCCAACACACCGATCAAACCGCTTATGGACCACCAATGAAGCAGTGTCCAGTTCGTAGGGCACCAACGGTTCGGTTCGACACACATGTCACATCAACCAAGCTGGAGGGCGGCGGCAGTCCAAACACATCAGGATTCACTGAGATCAGGTGCAGGATCGCAGTCCCAGCATCTTGAGCTAGGCAACTTTCGTCAAATCCCCTGGGTGCTGAGAAAAAGACCTGGGCCCTCCTGCCGTTCGGTGCTTGCAGAACCAGCAGGATACCCAAGGGTCCAATATGAACCACCTGTCCTCCTTTCCAGGTCTTGCAAGAGGAGAAAAGACACCCAACTTGTTGTCAGGATATTTCCGCTGCAGAAAGTTATCCATCTCAAACCCTGCAGATTGGGATGGAACAGCCCTCCACCGTGTTCAACACCCGGCTTCCCGGCCGCTGCCCCGCTTGTTCCAGGCCTTCAGTCATCAGGGCCTCGAAGAAACCGAGACCGGTGAGAGGTCCCAGTGAGTCGTCCTACCAAACTCTACAGAAATGGTTGGTTTTTCGATTGCTTGGTCACCTGTATATGTTGACAAGAGCATCGATCGACAAAACAGGCATCTCTGAACTGAACGAACACAGGAAAGAACGCAAAGTTTCTGGTCCGCGGGGGTTCTCAACTCGAGAAAACCACTCGTTAACCTGGCAGCTTTTGGTGATGGTGCTCAGCCTTCAGGTCTCCGAAAGTAGAACCTAGATTATATAAAACATAACAAACCCATGTAAAACCTCTCACATGGAGAGGTTTTACAATCCAAACTGATGAACTAAGATTTGACATTGTGGCCTCTCCCGAAAAAACGAAACATCATGGATGCTTCATTGGTACCTGCATTCTGAACGGGCCAGCATCCACTGAGTTGCTCACTGCACCAATGCCGCCTTCTTTGGCCTCCCGTGTGACGACCACCTTATGTGACGTGAATACGGAAAGATGAGGAGTTTGCTACTGTTCATCAAACCAGTAGATAGCATCAAAAGCAAGTAGAGAATTGCCACAGAGGACAGTTTTGTGCAACTGTTTGTGCCATATTCATATTCATCCATAATATCGCAGAGGACCACTTTTTAAAAATGGGCAGCACATACCCTCGCGTTAACGTCTGCATACCCACCATGTTGCAGCAATACTCAAACAAAATAAGAGGACGGCAATATCTGCCCGTTTAGAAAACTTGCTATATATGATATTGTGTACCACAACATTGATTTCAGGGGTGCTTTCCTACCTCGGTTGCCCTGCATCAGCACCTTCAAAACGTTGGAGGGTGCCTCCTGAAAGACATCAAAAATATGCCAAAATTTCCCCAGATGGCCGGTGACATTCGACATGATGGGACACTCTGCTTGGAGCAGCGATCGGTCTTCTACGTCAGGATCAGAGACGCCTTTTGGAGCCATGCGTGAGTTTCCAACTATGCCCTGCAGGTGAAAGATCTCACTGGAGTTGATCACTACTGATTGAGGTAACGGACCAGGTTTTTATGTGTCGTTGGACCTGTAGGCGTGGGCTCCACTTTTTGCCCCAACGGCTGTAGGCAAAGCAATGCTGTACCACTTGTAGCCTTAACTTGGAGCACCGAATGCAAGTCATTCCAAAGAAAACAACAACTTCAATGGCCACACAATCTGTAGCAGCTCACTTGTCGGAATTATGTAACCCCCAGCTCGAAAGCTGCTCAGACCACCACCACTGTGGCACCTGCAAAGCTGGTGCCGCGGCCGGTACAGCCGGCGCAGACGGTTCAGTTGGTGCAGCCGGTGCCGGCTGCTCCTATCCGGGCCAGTGCCGCGCAGGAAGGGGCTCGTGTAACTGTGAAGAAATGTATAGTCAATGAGAACTCGGGTGAAAGAAAACCTACTTAAGCTTACTATGGCCGAGTATGGCCTAGCCAGGATTCTTGACTGTGACCACGAGGATTCGTCACATCTTCGGCTGTTGGATGTTCGCTATGACAAACCTCAAACACCTCGTTGGGATCTCTCTTTTTGCACTGTAAGTCTCACGAAAAAGTTGGTCGCCCTCTTCATGGGCCTGGACGGCCAAATGCTAGGACCAACCATTGTGGTACACATGTGTCAGCTGCGCAAGCATTCCCAAAATACCATGAAACAAGCAACAGAAAGGATGTCAATGTCCCATATCTCATTCAAAATGAAAACATATGAAAACCATATGAGGTGTCCGTCATGTTTCTTGTTCGGTTATTCAGTTTAATTCTATACGAGAAAGTATACAGAGCGGGCATTGCTCGCAGTGGCCACTTGCGGCCACTCGAGTGGCCGCACACATTAGGCATGTGTCTCGAGCAGGCTCCATGTGTACTGGTTTTCCCGGTGGAGGACGGAAAACGTAGGCTATCTTCCTCTGCTTTGTATGGAAAACACCGAATGTGTTCCTTTGCGTGGTGGCGTACCACTCAAGTGGTTGCAAGTGGCTGTGCTATCGAAAATCAAAACGGCACAATTTGCGACCTCAATGAAACATTATTTCAGAAAGCAAAAACCGTTCCATCCTGTTCCCTCTATACAGTACCTAACATTTAAAGTTAAAGGCTACATCAAGATTTTTGTGGTGGGTTACTTCATCTTTGGTGTTCAGTTCAGAATCCATCCCGGCGTGCTTTTGAAAACACAAACCTGGCCAACATACACGCCCATGTGGTACAGGGTTTTGACCGTCTTCTGGATTGACTGCCGGCCTTGGCTTTGACTGCTGCTGCACCAGCGGCTGATGCTGCCGCAGGCGCGGGGGGTGTGGATGCAGGCGGCTCCTGAAGCAGAAGTGGTGTCGGGCAGAAGTTGGCAAACCCTGAAAACATCGAAAACGTGTTTCATCGTTTTTCCTTTGAATCGAGATTGAAATTGAGGAGCCATGCTCATCTACTTGAGGATGGGCCAGAAAGGATCAAACAAAAACAAAAGGATCAACAGTGCCTTTTTCAGCAAAAATGATGGGGCATGATGGGGCTCACAGTCGGGAGTAGCAATCCTTAGTCCTTACGCAAAAAGTAACACCAACAACTGCCCAGGCGGGACGGCCCCAGTCGTATGTGTTGGACCATCCTATTCTACCGCCTCCAGGCTGAGGACACGAACCGCAAATGCCAAAGCAGCATTCCACCTCAACTGGCCTCACTGCCAGAGCATCGAATTCGTGGGTCAGAGGATCTACCCCAGTGCGAGTCACACAATGCCCCACTATGTCCAGATCGAGTGATCGTGCATCACAAATAGTGACAGAGTTTGGCCCACTGCATCGCTACTATATAGGTGGAGGAATTCGCTAGTAGGTTGGAGGCCATTACTACTAGTAACAAGAAGCTACTAGGAACAAAGGCTTCTAGGTTGGAGGTTGCTTGATGAATCAACCCCCCCGTCTCATGGGTGAAATATCCCCCTTGCGAGACTTGATTCATCAGGATCCAAAGCCATCCGCAGGGTCACCAGTCGCCAGTGGATCCCATCTATAAACAGAAGGTGACCCTCTTTACTCGCTCGTTGAACATCGAACTGTGGTTTTCCCTGGCACCGCCGTGGTTTTCTTGCACTGTCATTTTACTCACTCGGCCCGTCACCCAAAGAACCGCCAGACATCGCCGTCTCCGCGTCTCCAAAACGCCGAACGACGTCTCCTGGGCGCAGCGATTGGTCTGCTGGTTCACCTTCGCCTCCTGCGCGGACGCGCGCAGCGGTGCGAAACCGCGCGCGGGTTGCGAGTTTCACGCCGAGCCCCTGCGGCGCGCCGAAAGGATCGCTCGAAAAGGAACGCCCGCAGAGAACCTCTGCACGCTCCGAAAAGGCTCTGCAGGGTGGTGTTTTGTTCAACGGTTCAATGAAGGAAACATATGAATCAGATTGAATCAGTGGGTTCATATACCGTAGGGGACAAGAATACCGTATCTCTGAAACCCACCGCCGCAGGCACGGAACGCCACCTGGCTCGAAGTTCATTGTGGGCACTTTCACATGACTGGCACTGATGCCCCAAAAAGTGTCTTTGGGATGCACAGCTCATGCCCCCCCAAAATGCTCACGATAGGACATGATGCCCTGCATCATTGTCTTAGGTGGAGCGTGCAGCGCTAAACATACACGCACAGATTTGATGAATGCGATCAATGTATCACGCTAAACCAAGGAAACAAATAACAAGTCTGTGTCGTTCCAAGTTTCCCGGTTTCCTCAATCACAGGCCACAAACTGAGTTTTCGAGTCGAACGGAGTTCATAAGGATCGAGGCCGCAGGCCCCATCCAGACTCCAGCTGGAGCAGATTCTGGGCCACCCAGCCCATTCATCCTGAGCACTGCACAGGCTAGACTGACCAGGGGCGGATGGCGAACAGTAACGCTGGGACGCTGGGGCCCTGGAGTTCACCTGACGGGCCCCTGATCTCAAGAACTGGTTGACGCACGGAGCTGCTCGAGCGCATCAGGTCGCTCCAGTCATGGTGCACGGTCCTGGTCCGGTCCAGCGGGACTCTTCGTGCTCCGGGATAGCGGTTTGTCACGCTTGCAGGTGGTTGCGACCACGGATGACCACGGTCTGGCCGTGGTAAAACATGTGCAGTTTGACGTGGTTTGTTTCAATTGGTAGTTGGTCAAAAGGCGACTTATGTGTTTTTCCTTTTGGGGAGTCACTATACGCAAAGCAATCTATATAATTCAGTGTGCTAGTCCCCGTTACAACAGGACTCATGGTTTCCGTCCATGATACCTAAAAAGAAAACGACCAAAAAGCGCTGACCAAGTTGTTACGTCCATGAATACTACACTGCCAAGGCACATAGCATCGGTCGTTCCGCTTCTTCAAGGACTTGATGGCCTCTCGGAACCTCCACCAGCTGCGGAAGAAGGTTCACATCTGAGCATTGAGCCAACCCACAAGACCATGTTTCTTCAACTATGAGAAGGTTCCCTGCAAAAGGCCCCATGTTCTAAGCTTGAAGCCTAAACGGGATTCAATCAAAATCAAGCCCTTGATGGGCATCCTCAGGGTCTATTGTTTTACCCAAGAGTTCCACTTCCCATCATCTCGAAAGCAACTTCCCACCCGACAGGGCCCTGCCAGATCCCCGTTCCAGCCCACGTTTCGGCCTGCATTCCCGACACACAAGGCGTCACGCCTTGCATCATTGGTATAGCAATTCAGATAGTCACACTCCCCGGGCTCCGACACGCCTCAGCTGCTATGGGGCAACTTGTGGTCCAAGGTCTTTCTTTTCACAGCCGCTGGACCATGAATACTCGCAGTTCTCTTTGATAACTCTTGCATGTGTTCACTTCTGTTTTGTCACCTCGGAGCTTTCCAGCAGGTCTTGAACGAAACTGAACCCAAAAAATTCGATCTGAGAGCCATCGTCCGATAAAGGTTTTTGAGTTGATTTTTTCGTTGAAATCATTGCGGTTGTGTCGTAACTTCAATCTGCTAGGCAAACATGGTTCAACATGTAATACTGCGTTTCTCTACAATTAGATATAGTCAGTGTCTCGCAAAGCACTGGTAATACTTAGTTAGCTTAGTTGGCAAACGCTCCGGAAATTTATTGATGCAATTTTATTGTCAACTGGCAGGCCGCAACAAAGTCAAATTCCACGTTATATCATGCCTCACCGAACGTTGCTGTGTTGAGTCAACTTGGAATCTGGATACCTGAGCACCACGTGTTTCAGGGCGTCGTCTTCAAAGTGGCAACAGTACAAGGAGCAATGCCATGATAGATCATGATAGGAACTTCATGGACCTTCTATAGCCCCAACGCAAGTTTCATACACTCGGACTCTTGCTGTAGATGAAAAAATAGGTTGTATGTTGATGTTCCCCACCATCCATCATCAATGCGCATGGACTCATAGACCTTTAAACCCCGAGGCTCGCGATGCTTCGCGGCTTTAAGTGCCAACCAAGGCCAACTGTGGGATGCTGGAAAGGGTACCCAGTGGTGTCTGGACATCCCAGGCCCATCTGAGACATTGGCTGTCGTTCATGGTGCACTTGATACCTTGGATCGATCTTATCGGATCCGAACGAGGAGGGTAAAGTGACCAAGTTTGGCGGTTTCCAAGAGTTTAAATTCGCTCACAAACAAAAGCACGGTGCAAAAAGTGATGGAAAGGTCCTTTTTCAAGCGATTTTGTGACGATGTACTTTGTTAAAGGTGCGCTATGTTCGTGCCGGAAGTTGCACTGAGTTGGACTTAAACTGCCGAAACAAATTTGTAGAAGCAGAATGTCTAGAGATCTAGACGCACTGGGTTTCAGAGACAGGCGGTGGTGGTGATGATGATGTCGTGATGGTGATGTCGTGATGATGATGTCGTGATGGTGGTGGTGATGGTGGTGGTGATGGTGAAGGTGCTGCTGAAGGTGGTGGTGATGGTGAAGGTGCTGCTGAAGGTGGTGGTGGTGGTGGTGGTGGTGGTGGTGGCGGCGTGGGATGGTGTTGGCGGTGATGATGGTGCTGGTGATGGTGGTGATGGTTGGCAAACTACTGCGCCTGCCACGAAGTCTGTCTACAAGGTACTGCGCCTGCCACGAAATCTGCACTTCCAGGTCTACAAAATACTGCGACTGCGCCTGCTACGAAATTTTCATTTCCAGGTCCACATGCAAAGTACTGCGCCTGCGACAAAATCTGCACTTCAAGGTTCACAAAGCGCGTGGGCACGCCACGAAATCTGCACATCAAGATTCACATCGCGCAGCCCTGCCAAGGCAGTTCGCAGCAAAAGCACTTCTACAGACAACGTCACGCAGGTTTCGCCCGAGACTTCCTTCGATTTCTGAAAACGAGCCACATGTCCAAAAGTCACACAATTCACTGCACCGGCTACGAAATCACAGTACGCCCAAAGCAACGCGCCTGCCACGAAATCTGCACATCAACATAAAATATCATAAAACCACTCCGATCTTGCACCTCTGACGAAAAGTTGACTTTAGACCACCAAAACACGAGGCTTCACTTGCCCTACGAAAATTGATCACCAAGTCAAAAAATGTGCACGGCGCCACACTCTCGAAGAGCACCCGCCCGTGCCCACCAAATTCTGCGAGCCTGCGCCTGCGCAGTCGGAATGCACTTCGATGATCACCTCCGATCAGACACTCGTCCTTAACACCTATAAGATCCCCTATATAGGTGTGCACACAATGTTTGGGAAAAAGGTAAAAATGTCCCTTAAAACTTAAGGCTGCTACACTACGAGGCCCCTCCACGCCGAAACTTCTTTTTGCAACGTTTACCGACCTTGCTGTTGGGCGCCGCGAAACCCCTACTTAGTGCGGTGCGATCGCAACAGCCGCTGTACAGCGAGCCCCCACACAAACACACTACATAGCGCTGCTTCGAGGGCACTGCCGCCCCGGGACCATTCCTGTAAACCCAAAAATATGACATCATCTATTTTAAAAAACCAACGCTTCCACAGACGCGTCGCTGCAGACCAGCCGTGCTTTCCCAATAAGCACATCGCCGAGTGCAACAGTGCTTTGTGGCGGTGGGCCATCGTTGTGTGTGTCGGACTCAGTATGTTCCCGCAGTGGTGTCTGACACGTCCCACAAGCAAGTCATCAGAAAGAGGTTGTCCAATTCTACCGTTGCACGGTTCGTTCGGTTTCATTGTCCCCAAAGAAGGGCCAAGAAATCCCAAGAATCTGGCAGAGCCGACGGCGCTTTCGGTTCCAAAGGGACGGCGCTGTTTTGGGGAAAGAACATGGACAGTTTGGGGGGGGCAAAAGTTCGACGAACGGGTCAATTAGTCCGCTATTGTTGGTATAGTAACGAACTGTTTGTATAGTATAGTTGCCACCCCATGACCCTTTCATCTTATCACTTTGATATTTTTCATTCCGAATAGTGCGTTGCAACATGTTGCAACATGTACCCTGTGTGGCCAACGGGGGGGGGGTAGCCCCGCCGGCAACCTATATCCGATCCGTTGACTGGTCTTTCTGGTTGGTGGGGGGGGTCGGTTTCGTCCGTGTTACTACTCGCGTACATCGACTTTGACGTTGATTTGTCGACTCGGTGACCTTTCGTTCGCCCGGTGACCATTCGTTCACTGGACTACTCGCTTTTCTTGGCTTACAGGACATGACGGGCTCGACATTCGTTGTTGGTTGAGTTTGTCGTTGGTTCTGTTGTTGCATTTGGCCGGTTTGAGGCGCCCTTGCCCCAATGAGCATTTGAGGGTCTTTTTCTCGGCAGACTTTTTTCTTTTGGATGCCCACATTGACGTTTGTACCCGTGCCTCGGATCCGACTGTCTCTTCTATTCAGGAGGTTTCATTGTTAAACTGTCGTTCACCCTTACGTTTCGATCGTCTCGTCGATTTTCGTTTGGTCTTGTTCGATGTTTGGAATTCTTACTTTCATCGAAACAATATGAACACCTTTCATGTGGAGTGCATTACTGGGTTCTTTCTAGACGTCTGTTGCAAATCAGATATGTTGAACTAAACAGCTCGCCACGGCGGACGACACAGACGATGACTCTCGTGGTAGACTCACCCGACCTCATGGCCAAGCGGTGTGAGTTGCAGCCTTTGATAGATCTGACGGAATCTCCTGTACGGTCTGCATCGGCTGCGCGAATGCCGACGAAGGAGGAAGCTTTATGTTAATGATGTTTTATGTTTTTGTGGTCATGTGAACCTTGCAGAAGTTTTTGTTTCGGATACCTCGTTGTTGGACAAACCATTTCAGGAAGACGATTCGGAGTCTTTGTCACCGCCAAATGAATGGGACAGCCCGCCGCACAGGCAAGCCAAGATTCAGTATTGGACGAAGCATAGCACACCAGCCCTGGCAGAGCAACCGCAGAGAGTCAATAGCGGGGCTGCTGGCTCTTCTCACGGGTCTTGTTCGTTATTCTGTCGCTGCCCCGTAAGAAACCTCCTTTTTCGGGGTTAGTCATGACCTTTTTCAGATTCGAACATACCTGGACCGACTAACCATTGGCTGATTGAATCTCAGGACACCAATGCCGCTTGCGCTGGGGATGCACAAGGGTCTGCTGAAGACAGACCATGGCCGCGTACAAAGTGGGGACGCTGTCCACTTTGTGAGTACACGCCGACTGTGACTCTGACCAAACGACACCTTCCAAAGAAGGCCCGTTTAAAGTAGCTGCAGCCGTTCCTCTTCTGCTGCCAGACCCATGTTGCTCGAGAAACAGAGCGAAGTTACGGTCATTGGTGGAGACCAAGGTACACAAAGCTTGGCAGCAGTGATCAAGAAATCACTGCGTAGATGGGTCTTCTTGGCCGTTGCGATGCAAAGCTGCAACGACAGCACGTTGAAGGCCTCGCAGCGTTGTGGTTCAGCCAACATCCAGGGTTGGACTCAATGCTCGAGGCTGTCAGAATACATAGAGAAGCTGTGCAAGACACTTGTCCGCCAGCTCTCAAATGTACAGTGAGCTCAATTGGCTCAATTGGGAACAAGACTGATGTCTGGCGGCTGCAAATGAGCCTTGGCAAGCTGTACACGGAGCAGGCGGGTGGGTTGGGTTCGTCAAAACGCATTCAACTTATCGTCTTGCAACTCATGAGTTGCAAGGCGATAAGTTGAGTGTCCGGAAAGCCTTGTAAAACAAATGGTGTTTTCACCCTCGGTATGTGGCGTTCGGGGCCAACCCCCCAGGCCGCTCCATCCATTTGTCACCTTCACGTCCACAAGAATTCGTCCAAGCCGCCGTCCACGTGCGGAAATCCCGCATCCTGCTTGATGGCGATCCGGTTGGCGATCTCCTCGGTCACACCAAGCCTTCCATGAAAAAATGCTTCAAAGGAAAACAGTAACTCAAGCAATCCCAGGTGCGTGAATGAACAGAGAAACTTCCCACTGGGCACTAACCTGGAAGTCAGCCGAGATGAGCGAAGTGGAGTCCTCCGTTTTTTCGTTTTGAGGGTGATATCCCACCGCAGTAAAAAACCGATTTCCCGGATTTCGCTTCAGGCCGGCATCATCACGTCCCACCACGCACGGTCCAGAGGCGCATTCAGGAGTGCTTTGTAGGGTAACTGGTTTTCAAAAGGAACACCACGACCAGCAGGCCCGCTTTCTCAGACTGACGCCCGCGGACCATGGCATGCCATCATGATGCAACGGTTGGTGTCAACGTTTTTCAACGCAAACAATTAACTACTCATCATTCGCTGTAATCATCGATGTCAAATGAAGGAACTAAAAAGATTCGCCCCCTTTTCTCTCATCGTTTTCACAAAGAAACTCACAGGAAACCCATGCTGTCAGATGAACATCCACCAGAACCTGCCACCTGCAGGGCCCCCCCCGAAAAACCTGCCCGTCCTGCATTTGCAAACCTCGGCTGATAGCGTTGGGCTGTGGAAGTGGTCGATGGTTCATGATGGCTCATGATGGCTCACATGGCCAGGAAGGGAAGAGTCAGAGTGGATGGCGTTGGCACCCCAACTTAGGACTAGATCAAGCAGAACCTGCTGACCTCAGTATAGGGAAAACTTCAACCCGGTCGCCCCTCTTCCACACATGCCACATTCGACGCAGGTCTCTTACATCCTTTTTTGCAGCGGCTAGGGCCAACGAAGGACAAACGAAGGACCAGTGGATTCATGTACCCCAAAATTGCGGCCTCCAAGAAGCATCCGGAGAAAACAAGAAGGCGTTTCGAGGACTCCACGGGTTGTTTTCCAGCAATCCGGATCCCGGGCAAGCGTTCTTCATGGCAGCGGCCTGTGTGAAACACAGGGCGCAGCGCAAACAAGCCATCAGCTGCAAGAAGAGGTGGTCCCAGATCGCCGGGGCAAAAAAAAGGCACCAACAAACTCATAATGACTCATCGGTGGTTTGGAAAGCATGAGTTCTTTCGAAAACCCTAAAGTTCTGAAAAATGGAACTCACCTGGAAGTGGACAATGAGTGCTTGGAAGACCCTTTTCCTCTACAAATTGGGCGTTGTCCACTTCCATGTTAGTTCCAGGGAGTGTAACTGCAGTTGAACATTCCATCCCGCTTCACTGTGTTTTTGGGCTCCCGATTTCAGGGAAGCCCGGACACCGTGGACCTCCACACCATCTGGCATGTTCAGGAAACGACACCAGTGACATGTTGGGGCTCCCTCTGGCTAGATGTTGGTTCCTGCTAGTCTTATTTGCTCTTGGTGCAAGAGATACCGTAGTTTCTTCTTGCTTCTTGCTTTTTCTTGTGCTGTCGGCGGCTGTGCTTTTCCTCTGTTGTCGGAGTATTCTTGGGCCTTGCTTCGGTTAGAGCCGGATTCGGAAACTAATCGGTCGGATTCTGAAACTAGGGTTCTGAAACTGGGGTTCTGAAACTAGGGTTCTGAAACTTGGATTCTGAAACTAGTATTCTGAAACTGGAAAGTCAGATTCTGCAACTGGTATTCTGAAAC